TGTTGTTTCAGCCATGCATTTTACTGTGATAAAGCACTGGCATTAGCTAACTTATAAATGCAAACCATTAATTGAGTTCACAGTTTTATAGATCCAAAGGCAAGGCCCTTACATTGGCTCACTTTTGAGGGCAGTAGATGATTGATGGCAGGAACATGTGTCAAAGAAAAAGGTCACAGTGCAAGCGCTGGAGCAGAGGGAGAGAAGCGGTGACCAGGGGCTTATTCTTGCGTCAAGGACATGTGGTATATTCCTTTATACCATGTGAATATATGTTGCTGTGATTGGTTTAATAGAGAAACGGACTGGTCGATAGCTGGACAGGATAACGTTAGTTGGGGGAACCAGACTAAGGACACTGGGAAGAAGGAGGTTGTAGTCAGAGGAGTCTGAAGCTGGACACAGAGGAAGCAGGGTGTGCAGAAAATGAGGGAAAAAGCCATGAGCCACATGGTAGAACCTAGATCCGAAATATGGATTAATTTAAGATGTAAGAGCTAGGCAGTAATAAGCCTGAGCTATCAGCTAAACATTTATAACATTAAGTCTCTGAGTGGTTATTTGGGAGTGGTTGCTGAGACACATAGAACTCTGCCTACAAGGATATATCTTTCAATGATGCAAGGATCTCCTACTAGGCCAGACCTTCCAAAGATGGCACCATGTGCCAGTGATGCTCTCCTTGACATCAAGGGGCTAACATATGGACCTTGGGGAAAACTATGTATATCTTTAATTTTATTTTACTTTTAATTAGAATGTAACTGCACCATAGCCCCCTTTCTTCTCCAACTCCCCTCAAGCTCCCTTAACACTCTCCTCAAATTCATGAACTTTTTAAATTATTGTTATATAACAATATAATATATGTCTCAATACAACCATTTAATGTTGATTATATGTATGGTATGTTTTAGGGCTGACTACTTGGTATTGGGAATATAATTCGGGGACACCCGGGAGGACTCACTCCCTCTCTCTGCAGCTGTTGTTAACTGCCTGCAGCTCTTTATCTAAGAGAGGGGGCCCTGTGAAACCTATATGTAAACTATAGAAGATGCCTATTCCAGTCAGGGTTTATGAGAACTGAAGAGAGACTTTCTGAGGAATCCGGAGGGGAAGGATTTCCAAACAGTTACCTGTTCTCTTCACTTGAACTCGGCTTGTGTGGGGGCTGTACCTGCTGCAGCCTAGGAGGAAAAAAAAAAAAAATGGATGCAGGGAGCAAGGCAAGTCGGAAGGAGTCACTGGAACAAGTTGGATGGAACCGTTGGAAATGATCTGGCTCCTCCTACCTCAGGCCCTCACTGGGACTGTCGTTGTCTAAGTCTGTTTAAGCTATGTTGAGGAACACTGGTCACTGAAAGCCTCCCAGTTGCCTGAGAGTAAGTAGCACACTGGTCGAGATTCTCCACTAAAGAGTCTTCAAATAAAATGCAGGTTTAAAATACAAAATTAAGAGGCTGGAGAGATGGCTCGGTGGTTAAGAGCACTGGCTGCTCTTCCAGAGGTCCTGAGTTCAATTCCCAGCAACCACATGGTGGCTCACAACCATCTGTAGTGAGATCTGGCGCCCTCTTCTGGTGTGCGGGCATACATGGAGGCAGAATGTTGTATACATAAGAAATAAATAATTCTTTTAAAAAAATACAAAATTAATTCCAGTCACAGAATTTGTGATATACAGGCATACCAGCATCATGCCTAGATACCATCAACCTTTCAGGAACCTGGTTCAAATTTCAGTTACCATAAAGTATATTAACTGTAATGAAGCCCGATTGTGCTGGCTTTGCCCACAGATTGCTACATCAAAGAAGATGTCCATTGTGCTCATCAACCAATCACTTTGCTCCTTTCCAAAGTTTTTTGTTCAAATGCATCCCTGCAGCTTAGGCTGCTTCTCCTGTGAGAACAGCCCCCCTGTGTCCTTCTGTGATGAGTAGACGTGTCAAGATCATTTCAGAGGTCTGGCAGCAGTGGCATCTTGGAATCAGTTGCCAGGTTTTCAGTCCCTGTGGTGAGAAACAGACAGGGAGTGGGGATGAGTGGTGGCTGCCAGTGGCGGGTGACTTGCACGGCTGGCAAGGCCAGTTGGAAGCACCGTGGGACTGGAAAGCGCATGACAGCGAGTTACAGAATGCTGTCCAGGATGTGTGAAAGTTAAAGGGAAGACTATCAGGACCAAATTCATCTTATAAGCATTGGTTATACCGCAGAGCCCATTCTTCTGAATTAAAATGAAAATGCCTCGTGATAGTTTTAGGTAATTGTTGCTACTAAAGCCATGTAATGAAATAGCCCTCTGAAGCGTTATTTTTTTTTTTAATATAACTTTTATGGCAACACCGTTACTCCAGTGTTTTGGAGCTATGCCTTTGAGGCAATCATAAGTCATAAAGATAAAAGTCACATATGACCTCTACCCTTATGAATTAAGTATTAAGTTAGCTTTAGAGGGCTTGAGGCATCGATTCATTGCTTTTCTGAATAGTGTCTTATAAAACGTGAGAACGTTTTCATATTCAAGTCAGTTTTTAAGTCAAATACACTCACTAACTGAAGTCTGTAATCATGCAGTGAACTGTGAAGCTAGGGCGGTGGCTCAGTGGGTAAAGTGCTTGGCGTGCAAGCATGAGGACTGGAGTTCAAATCCCAGGCACCCACATAGCGCACATCTGTAACTCCAGAGCCAGAGGCGGGATGGCAGAGACAGGTAGACTGTGTGGAATTTTCCTCTGTATGCTGTGAATATGTTTTATTACCATTGGTTAACAAAAAAGCCGCTTTGGCCTGTGACAGGGCAAAATAGACCTAGGCAGAAAAACTAAACTAAAGGCTAGAAGAAAGAAGGCAGAGTCGGGGAGATGCCATGTAGCCGCCGGATGGAACCTTACCATAGGCCACAGTCACGTGTCGATACACAGATGAATAGAAATGGGTTAATTAAGATGTAAGAGTTAGTTCATAAGAATCCTAAGCTATTGGCCAAGCGGTGTTGTAGTTAATACAGTTTCTATGATTATTTTGGGTCTGGGTGGCCGGGAAAGGAACAAGCAGTCTCTGCCTACAGTGGACTGTGAAGGCTGAGAAACACCTCCTCAAAAACACAGAAGTGATAGAGGAAGGACAGATGTTGACACCTGTCCCCGCCCTCTATTTCTGTAGGCACACATGAGGAGTGCACCCCCTCCCCAGACACTGTCTGATGGATTAATGTTTTCCACTTTCTACTCTTAACACCCATTTACACCGGAACACTGGCTTACAAGAGCCACTGAGATGAGGGGTTGCCAGTCGGCTGCACAGAGTCACAGACTTCCATGTGGGAGAATGGAAACCATTTTAGTTTTCGGTATGATTTCCTAAGTTTGGAAGCACTCAGGACAGAAAAGACACAGAATCAATCTGACCTTAATGCCAACCAAATTACCCACCAGAACCACTTTGTTAAGTATGAGATATTAAACCTCAGTGGCCATCGACTGACATGGGCCTCCTGGACGAAGGGAGGACATTGTGATGATATTAAATTGTAAATTGTAGCTAGAGCACCAATTACAGCAAATACTCTTTTAGCAGGTGCTGGGCTCCGCAGAACTGATGGAAGTTTTGCAAAAAACAAATCCCATATCTATTGAGTCCCCTCACCCTCAGGGTTGTGAAAAGCTTGAGGATGCAGAACTGGAAATGGATTTGGTGAGGGCGCCAGAGTCTCACAGGTCTCCTTGCCTACAGGGAATGAGGGGAGGTGTTCCCTGTTGCTGGCCTCCAGCCCTTCCTGAAGCAGGATGCTGATCCTGGTGACTCACTTGCCTGGGGAGATGGGTGGACCAGGGTAGAGTTCTGTTGGGCCTTCTTAGTCAGGAGAAAGGACACTGGCTTTGGGTGAAGGGGATATGGTCAGCCTGGGGCTTGTTTATGTGGAAACCATGAAGGAACAGCGGCTGGAGGAAAATACATTGCCTTTGTTATAGATGTTCGGACACAAGCCCCCCTCTGTGTAAACCAGCTGTCTTAGTTAGGGTTTCTATTGATGTGAAGGTACACTATGACCATGGCAACTCTTATAAAGGAAAACATTCCCATTGGGTGGCTTAGTGTCAGAAGTTTAGTCCATTATCATCATGGTGGGACACAGTGGCATGCAGGCAGGCATGGAGCTGGAGAGGGAGCTGAATGTCCTACATCTCGGCTTGCAGGCAACAGGAAGTGGACTGAGACACTGGTGGTATTTTGAGCATATGTGAGACCTCAAAACCCTTCTCCACAGTGACACTTCCTCCAAGAAGACCACACGGGACTCCAACAAGGCCACACCTCCTAACAGTGCCACTCCTTTTGTGAGCCATCGTCTTTCAAACCATCTTACCAGCTCAAGTATCTGCCTGCTCCACCTAACTACGCGGCGGCGGCGGTGGCGGAGGTGATACCCCCGGCACCATGGACCTCACCCTGTGAGTCTAGAGCTGAGCAGCATCCATGCGAATAACGGACTTTGGGACGACAAGTCCTTAACCTCAGGGACACGAGGAGCTGGGGAGGTGGTCTCGTTTGTGGCTGCTGAGTTGAATGTCAATCCAGTCTGGAGGCTCTAATCTTCCAGCTGGACACAGCCAACGCAAGGCCAACAACATGGTCCTAACCCTCCCAAGTTCTCAGGTCAACCCGATGCAGCTATCTCTGGTGTGTGAGAGCCACAGGAAGCATCCAAGTGGCTGTTACGGCCACTGTTAGCAATTTTGCAATAAGCAGTAGCAGAGAAAACCCACCAGGAAATACACAGGGCCTGTGGGGTGGCTCAGCAGGCAAAGGGGCTTGCCAGTGAGCCCAACCAGGACCCGCAATTGAGGGGTTAACTGACTCCTACAAGTTGTCGCCCGACCGCCACCCACGTGCCACGGCATACCACCGCCAACACACACACAAAATAAATGAAAACGTTTAAAAGAGTAATATAACATTTCTTACTAAATGCCTTTATTATCATTGCTACTTTATAAAGCTTAGTATTTTTCTAAAAGGAAAAGTCTGGTTTACATGTAGGAAAGTTACAAGCAGATGGCTACAGATAACATAGCCACTGGGAAAGAGCAGAGCCGAAAACCATGGAAACAGAGCGGTAAGCAGCAATGATATTAACACCTACAAGAATCTAGCAGTGCAGTAAGGTAAGCAGGAAGCAGCCTTATATTAACGTTATTTAAATACAGAAATAGCACCTTACATTGAGCAATGTAAACTTGGTAGGTAGGTTCAAGTATAAAAGTTATACCCCCAACTCTTGTACCAGAATGCAAGGGTTTCGCAAACCCTGGACAGCATCGTTGGAGGTCACGCACCCCTCCGTGCTGACTCAGAGCTCATGTCCTCTGCGGGATCACTAACAGTTTATTTCTTCTTGCCCTAACTTAGACTACGACAGACTCTACTCCGCCTCAGGTACTCAAGTCCAGCCGGGCAGCGGCAAAGGGTACCAGGCCTTCTGGACGAGTCAAAAGCCAGAGCATGCGGGACCCTCGCATAGAAGTAACTTTGTGTTTCACTGATGACATTGCTTCTCAACACCCTCTCAAGAATCACAAATTCTCTGAGGTTAATGTGGTCAATTTGCAAACAGTAAAAACTCTAATAGTAAAGAACAGCACATAGTGAAAAATAAATGAACATTGCCCGGGAACAAGGGAAGAGGTTTGTGTTTCGATGGAGATGTGGACGTCTTGATGAAAATGCTTTGGGGCAGGTTTTACATGCCAGACTTCGGCGGACCCACTGGCTGCATGTTCGATTATCTGAGAAAGGGTGATTCCCCTGTTCCGGAAAGGAAACAGCGGTTCAGAGTCATCACTGCCATGCAGTTTTCACCTAACTCAAGGAAAAACCAACTTTTAAAAAGGGGAGTAATGCCATTTTACAACTTTAGAAGCTTAGTGTTTATAAAAAAAAAATTGGATAAGTAGCGAATGTATTACATCTGGCCACTCATTTCCCGTTTTCCAAAGCTGTTGTTGGGGTAGTAAGACCACAGATGTCCTGTACTGAACATAAAACTGTGTTGTTCAGGCTCCCAGAGTCTCTTAAATTAATATTTTTTATACTTTTATATGGTATTTCACAGGGCACAAAAAATACAGAGAAAAAGCAGCCTTATAGTAAGACTCTAAGTTTCAAGAGAGGACCACAGGAAGAAAAGAGGGAAAAGGGAGCGGAAGGAACAGGAGGTTTACTCTTAAGAGAGAAGACTGAGGTAAAAACACCAATCAATGCGGAACCCTAAAGCAACGTGGCTCACAAAGGGAGGCGCGCGACAGCTTCCGGGACTGTATCTGTTAGCACAGACACCCCTGTGCCCGCCGTTCCTTTTCTGGGCCACAGAACTTACGGACACTCTTGGAAATGGGCAGAATGTGCCCATTTTCCCTCATCTCCCTCCAAATCTGAGGAAAATCAGTAAATGAAAAACAAAAGACTTAGCTATTGCTCTTTATGTTTCTGTTATCAATATGCTTCATAATTCAACCAACACTCTCGCCTGGTTCCAATCTCCTCCGTTCCTTCCTGTCACCCTGATTCAGCTGACTACAAATGGCCACCGTGAGAAGGCACACACCTGACCCTGGACAGTGAACGTTCAACTTAAAAACCACAGGGCGTGGAATGGAGCAAAGGAAGCTGAGCACAGTAGGTTCGGCTTTGTTTTAAACAAACAGTAAAACCTCACTATTCATGGTTACTGGAGAAACAAGCCATAAGGCACCTAGACTTCGGTTTCGGCTCCCGTGTCCCCAGACAGGCTGAGCACAGTACATCCATCAATAGCTAGGTGGAGGAGCATTCACAGTTATTTCGGTCTTGACATCTGTCACGTATATACATTTATCCACATTATTAATAAGTTGTAGAATAAGTGCAGGGCAAATTATACCAAAAAAAAAAAAAGTCTTAAACATTCAAGTCGCGATACCCTGAAAAAAAAAATACGTGTTAGACCGATGTTGTAAACTTTGTGCAGGAAGTCCCCCTTCAGAAACAAAATAAATAACACCGTAGGATTCGTCACTGAAGGCGGCTCCCCGGAGCCTGAGGATGCAGTAGTGTGTTTTAGGCTGCAGAGAAAGTTCTCACTACAGACTCACTCAGGGCAGTGAGACGCACATCGCCAATGCTTGCCCCGGTTAAGTGCTAGACAGCCCCCTCACTTCAGAAAAACTGCAAGGCTCCAGCAGCCTGTCAGGAATGACTTCCAGCACTCGGATGATTCTCGAAGCAGACCACACCAGTCGGCCAGTACTGCCGCTGTGACAGGCGGAGCCCGAGCTCTAGCTGGTGTTAGATGCATATATTAGTAACAATTACTTTCAGGCAAATAGGTGAGTCGTGATATTGGGAAGTTAGCAGAACCAGTGGATGCCAGAGAGGAAGGACACAAGCCGAGGACCAGGACAGCTTGTGTGTGTTCCATGCCGGGCATTGTCTGGGGCGCGGGAAACTTCAGGGGCCGAGGCCACCCCACCCACTGAAGCAGCAGGTTAGTCAGGCCCGCTGCTTGAGATTTCGAGTCGTCTCTGGGCCGAGCTAGTGTTTCGGGATTGGTTCCTTTCTCTTCTCCTAAAAACAGGGTCTCCAAGGCTGCCTGGAGTCTTGAAAAATGTCTCCCGATGTCTTCGGTGGATGCTCTTGGGAGTTGCTGGTGCAGGAGACTAGACAGAAAGAGCAAGAGCAGAAGTAAAAAGATCTTTCAAACTCCAAGATGGGAATCTCTTCCTGCTAGGTGTCACCAGGTTGCCTGTCCCTTCTGCTCTGCTCTCCCACTAAGGGCTTCCCACCATCCAACCCTGAGCACAATGCTTGAGTATCTCAGATACAGAAAAAAGCACAGCCTACCAAAAATGGTACTGATGTGGCTGAGGTCTAGAGCCAGGCCCTGGGCTCTGCCATCACTTAGCTGTGTGATGCTGGACAAATTAAATTACTTCATTTCTGTGTCCCTCAGTGTCTGCATCTCCATCAGAGATGAATAACAACTTCATAGGGCTAGAAGAACTAAGTGAGAAAATCTTGGTAGAGTACGTTAGAAGATGCAAAGCAAACACGCTGTGTGTCTGTGGTCCCTTCTGCTCAGTCATCCTCTCTGTGTGCCCTACGATCCTGCCGATTCTCTACTGGCACTGCGCGGATCACTGCCTGGCCCATAACTAGCTCTCAAGAGGCGCTGTGCTGACAGACAGACGGCATATTTGACTGCACACACAGAGCTATATGTAAACTCAAGTAGGACCAAAACTTGTCTCAGGGAGCCCACAACACAAGACACAGAACTATAGGTAACTACGGAGGAGGGGAGTGGGAAAAATCGTGTTTCTCAGGGAGAGCACCCAAATCGGTTATGCCGTACCAAGTGGTCAGCCCTGAAATTAGACACACAAGCGCCATGACAAGGGCCGAGCAAACTTCATATACATATTTGGGAACACGTAACATACATGTAACAACAGTTAAGGAGATCGAGGCCCTGAATTGAAGAAAGTGGGGTGTGTGTAGGAGGTGGGCACACTATCCCACCACTAGCTGAGGAGCTCCTGGCCTCGGCCAGCTGCTGTGAGAGGGAGGGGCAGTGCTCTTTGACGCTGTGACACCAGCCACACTGACCACACTGACCACACTCTGGGGCAGGCCCCATGCCCAGGAAGGTCTGGCCAACACAAAGTGGACTCAGGGAGCTTAGGAAGACAAAGGGGGAGAAAACCAAGCTGGACAGGGACGGAAGGGGATGACTATCATCCAAATATTGCAGGAAAATCCTCAAAGGTTTAATAAAAATATCAATTTAATATTTAATAAAAATAATAAAAACATTATTTTTTTGAAAAAGCATATGTTGGGCAAGGGGTGTGGATCAGGGTCAGAACATTTGTCTAGTTTATGTGTGGCCCAAGGTTTGGCTTCCAGCGGTGCAAAAAAACTGAACCAAAACAAAATCGAGTCAGAAAACTAATGTGACTATTTAAATATACAGTACACTCGGAACCTCTGAATAACCTACCTCCAACGACTTTTAGTGACACATAATAACATTTCTTGAGAGGAATGAGTGACTCTAAACACGGAGTCTTTAAGAAGCAGATAACACAGTTCCCACTGAAAACCAGGCAGGACCTGAGGTAATACCTCTGCATCAGTCAAGTGACTGAGAAGAAAGCTAACTATATGCCGGCATCCCCCATCATGGAGTGACCAAGCCTCGGGTCTTACCTGTTCTACTTTTACCATTGACACCGGATGTCTCCTGTAACTGGGGGACTCGGGATGGATGACGCCGTGTGAGCCTGGCATCCCTGGGCTCAGGTTGAGGGAGGGCTGACACCGAGGCTGAGAATCTGAGGAAGGGACGGTGGGCGTCGTCGGGCTGACCATGGCTGCAGGGCTGAGGAGAAGGTGCGCTGTGGATCCCAGGGTGGACAAGCCGAAATTCATGGGTCCGGTGTTTGGGAGATTGGCGGGAGCTGAAGTAATGGGCGCGGGTATCGCCGGAGAATAGAGAACTGGGAAGGGGGCCAAACCTGGAGACGGCAAGAACATGCAAGGAACGCCGAAGGACGGCAGCTGACCCGACGGGGACGTCCCCACAGCGTGGGGCGTCTGATTGCCTGGTAAGAGCATGTTGAAGCCGTTTAACCCTGAAACAGAAGGAGAACCAGGTGAAAAATCACAGGACAAGATCCCCTTCATGTTCACGTCCCTCATGGCTCCTCCAGCGGGGTTCATAATAGATCAACGCATGATGGAACCGTCTCTCTGGCGAGGGTGAGCATACTGGCTGTGCTCTTCCAGCTGACACAGCTACCTCACACTGGTGACAAGACTGCACATCAGCCTTTACCTGCAGGGTCTTGTGGTCAGTGCCCACGGAGAACTCTTTAATTTCTTTCTCCGGGGATGCATGCATTTGTGTGTGAATGTGGGTGGGCGTGGTGATGAGGAAAACTTTGGGTGCTGGGTCCACCTTCTACTCTGAAGCGGAGTCTCTTGTTTACCATCGCACAGACCAGGCTAGCTGTCCTGAGAGCTTCTAAGGAATCTCCTGCCTCAGTTTCCCATTTCTCCACAGGAATGCAGGGAATATGGAGATATGTACCACCGTGCCCAGTTTTGTGTGGGCTCTGGGGATTTGAACCGGGTCTTCATGCTGACTCAATAAACACCTTACTCACTGAACCGCCTCTTCCTCCTCCTGTTGAGGGGTTTTAGTAGGGACTGCACCGAATCCAAAATGAAGGGGAAAATAAAATTTCGGTACGAAAACCTCTACTTTGATTGCTATGAACTTCTAGCCAAAAATTTCTATTTCCCTCAGTGATCGCAAGCAAGAATTCCTAAGTGTATGAATGATACTTTGGCAATACTGAAAAGTACAGATGTGGGGCCTGGAGAGATAGCTTTCTTGAGAAAGTGCCACAGTCAAGGAAGAAGACCTGGATCTGAGCTGACACGGCTACCTCACACTGGGACTCTAGACTGAAGGTCTTATTATTATGTTTAACAATCACAGCTTTGGAAGTGTGTGATGTTCTGGACTTGCCGCTGGGTGTCTTATTTCTCTGTGTAGCCCTGACTGTCCTGGACCTCACTCTGTACTCCAGGCTGGCCTCGAACTCAGAGATCTGCCTGACTCTGCCACCCTATTGCTAGGATTACAGGTGTGTGCCACCACTGCCCAGTTGCTAGTGGGTCTTATTAGTGTAGATAACTAAAAAATTAGCTTTTTACTTTAATCTTACTGGAATTGTTTCTTTATAGGCCCATGTACTAAGTTGTCTGCTTTGAAACATTCTGAGGAGTTCATGTGTTTCCTTCAATCGCCTAATAATGGCTTATATTAAAGTGTCCTCAACACTGAGATGTCCAGAGGTAACAATGCAAGCTGAGGACATGGCAGATGAAGAAACACCCTTCTCCTCTGCCTGGCAGACCAGACTGAAGCCAGCACGGGACCGGACCGAAGGCATCTCAGAAACCTGGTGGCCAATCATTGTTATCAACTTGACGGAATTGGGAATCGTCTAAGAGACACATGCCTGACCATCTGTCAGGCTGCTGCACTGGAGGTTCACCGAGGAGGGAAGACGCTCCCTAAACGTGGGCAGAGCCAGCCCCTTGGCTGAGGCCCTGGCATGAATGAAAGCTAGAAAGCTGGTGGGCAACAGCATCCCACCCTCCCGGGTCTTCTTTTATTTTATTTTTAATATGGGACGCTTCACAGATGTGCACGTCACCCTTGCACAGGGGCTGTGCTACTGTCTCTGCATCCTTCTAATTGTAGTACACAATTCTACACTGCCAAAGCGATTACCCCTCTGGGTCTTGACTGCAGACACAATGTAAGCAGCTGTGCTCCTTTGGCCACGCCCTCCCAGACCACACGCCAAAATAAACCTTCCCTCCTTTAATCTGTTCTCCAGTGGAAATTCCCTTCTAACACAGTAAAGTAGCTAAGACAGTATCTCTGTATCAAGAACAACTTGACGTACACAGGACAAACCCGACCAGCTTTTCGCTCTAATTCGGTTTATTTGAAATAACAACATGATCTGCCGAGTCTTACTTAGTTAGTGCCAGTACTGGCTCGCTCTAGGTGCTTTAGATTTCTTAGATCCAGTTCAGTCTCTCAGCACTCCAGAGAAGCAGGCGCTATTACTATTCTTCTACTAACGAGAGTATCTGAGTGCTTGTTTTAAGTTGACGTAGGTCATGAGTGGTTTTAAATGTCAAGTCCTCTTACAGGAGGTCACGGCGACGCACTCGGTACTGCTCGACCCTGAAAATCAGAATGCCCGGCTGTGTACGATCGCCGACACATTCATACTGAACTGAGAGTCTAAACCCGTGCTAGACTTGCTTGAATCAAAAAAATAAACTTGTCTTTTAAACGGGTGGTTTCTTCGTCAGATAAAGTGTAACGCATTTAAAATGTATCCCTTTACCCCCCCGTAGTTGTTGAACAGAGGACAGGAGCCTCGACCTTTGTTTGTGGAGACCGGGAACGAGATGGGCACAGCCCGACAATTTGCTGTTCTCCCTGGTCTGGTGACACGGGCAGAGACGGGAACACGTGGTGTGGCCGGCACGGGCATCCCTTACCTGCTGGGGACTGCACGTACAGATACTGCAGCAGGGCGGGGTCTTTGGTGACGTCATTTCCGTTTGAAGGCTTCTCTGCGTCTGGATTTCTCGAAGGGTTTCCACATGCAGAAGCAAGGAAGCAGCAGTTTGCCACGGCCTTTCCTGAAACTTCTACATCCGCCGGGGGCTGACTCTTTTCACAGGCGGAGGCTTCCAGGGGCGTAGATCTCCCGTCTCCCTCAGTCACAGGAGAGGCGAGGGCTGTGGAGTTTGACGGTCTCTAAGCACAACCAAACCAGAAAGCACAGAAGCCAAGTCAGGATTCCAGGAGTCAGTTTTAGATAGAAGAGTTCTCTTAAAATTGATAGCTCATGCACGAGAAAACAGCCAGGTGTCACTTGGATTAATGGCTCAGGTTTTTGAGACAGAGTTTCTCTGTATAACAGCCCTAGCTATCCTGAAACTAGTTCTGTAGACCAGGCTGGCCTCAAACTCACAAGAGATCCGCCTGCCTCTGCCTCCCGAGTGTTGGGATTAAAGCGCCACCACCGTGGGCCTCTAATTAAAATTTGATTTACTTTTTGTTAAGCTACTTCTTTGACAACTTCACGCAGGTACACGATGTGATGCGTTCTGGTTACTCTCTCCTCTACCTGCTGGTATCTCCCTCCCATCCTTACCAACTCTATTTCCTTCTCACACTTCTAATCTGCAATGCTGAGCTATATATAAAACTTGAAAAAAACCACTTTGGCGGGAGAAAGGCAGAGGGAAAGGCTCTTAATGGAGTAATCTCCACGCAGCGCGCCGAGTCGACCAGCGAGGAACGCGCTCTGGTTCTCCCAGCCTCACTGGTTGGTTCTACCTCATTAACTTCTGCACGGCTTCTGTGGGGAGGTGGGAGGGCGCAGACAGCTCATCTTTTTGTCTGCTTCATTCTGTAGCTAAGGAACCAGGATCACTGGGCAGCGCAGAGCACTGACCCAGCCCAGAGCCGGCTTTCCAGAGCCATTCACATCCCCGATTCAGGTACCCCACTGTTTCCAAGACCCAAATGATTCCAAACTTTTTTTTTTTTTTTTAGTTCATGAAACAACACTGAGATGGAATATACAAACACACTAACAACGATTACTACCCTGTACTAACAAGCAAGCTTTTTTCTTCTCTATACTTTTTTGGATTTTTGTAAGAAGTGTGTTTTTTTATTTTGTTAAAAGTTACTTTTCTTATAGTATTATCTTATGGTAAGATTTTTTGGGAAAGCCAGTCTGGAGCTTCATTAAATACATTAGGACCGCATGAAATACGCTTCTAGTCCAGAGTCTACTGCCTCAGAGCATCTGTCTCCATTAAGCTCCAAGCCAATGAGATGACACCACACACATTTACCCACAATCCCTTACCTTGGGCATGACTAGGGATAAGGGGCTGTCTTCAAATTCCTGACTTTGCCTTTTCATGGCTGGCTCATCCTCCTTGTGGGGATTCCTCTCCTCACACAGGCGCTTCTGAGCCGAGGGTGCCAAGGACAGGTCAGCCGGGACTTCTGAGCCACCATCCTCCTCTGCTCTCAGCTCTGCAGGAGGGGACAGTCCCTCCTGCAGGCTCCCACACAGCATGAACAGCGAGGAGGGCATGTAGACCAGGGGCTGGCCAGCAAGCAGAGCTGGCTTCAAGCTCTCTGTGTCTTAGGCGGCGGGAGGAATGTGGCCACCTGCTTGTCCGTGGAGGCCATTCTGAGTGGAGGAAGCCTGTAAATCTGCCTGAGCAACAGAAAATACTGGGTGGGCTAAAGACTTGACGCAGTATTCTGAGTCAGCGGGGAGGGCAGGGTCCAAGCTGCTTGCTGGAGGCACCACTCTCTTGCTGGCAAAGCCTTCCCCCCTGTAATAAAGAGAAAAGATGATTACCATCAAGTCACCGAGTTCTACCACAGCCCCCGATTCACTGCTGTCCACGTCAGAAGTGAGGCAAGACTGCTCGGACGATGTTCAAATGTCCTCTCTGGGCACACAGAGGCAGACCAAGGAACTCTTGATGGGTGGCTAGGGACGACATGAGGCCAACATGGGAAGAGCTGTTGGGCTCTCAGATGACCGACCACTGGCTGACACTGGTTCTCCCACAGCTCATGGTTATCAAGTATCAAGCACTTGGCCTGTGACGGACATTTGGTACAATACTGTAGCCATAGCTGCTCCTATTCCCACTTACTGATGAGGAGAACCCAAACCAAGCTCAGAGTTAATCCACCTGCTCCGGTTCTAAGGATCTGAAGCTGGACCTCACTGCAGGGCTGTTTGACGGCAAAGGCCAGCTTCCTGGTTACTCGAGAGAGTACGGGTGGAAGGGAGGCTGGGCCGGACTGATGTAAAGGAAAGCTAGTTGAGTTTACCTAGAAAGTGGGCAGCGAGGAAGAGCATGTATCTACTGGGGTTGGTACTTTGTTTTTTCCTCTCCGTTTGCTCAGTACTAATAAAGAATGCTTAGGCAGCCCTCAGCCCTCATTCAAAACTAAGCCCCGCTATGAGATTTTAATGTTTTGGCCATATATATATATTATACAATACGCGAATGTGTTTCGTTCATGTTTTGAACTAGATTAACCTCTGGAAAGTAGAGGATGTGGGTTTCTTCTTGGCTGCACACATGACTGAGACCCACTTCACCCAGGACCAGTTTTGCAGGTTGAGTACTTCTCTCCAACCACGGCCTCCCTAAGCGAGAAACTGAGCTCTGAAGGTCAGAGTGAATCTATCAACCGTCAGTGTGTCCGCTGGCCAGGGCTGTCAGCCTCTCCATCTTGAGCAGGAAGGGCAACACGACCTGACCATGACTGGATTCTTAAAGGCGACTTACTGTGATTTGTCTTCTACTTTCTGTCTGTAGATAGCTGCCAGACTTCCAATTTCTAGGGAGTAGGCTGATCCTGCAAGGGAACGTGAAGGGTTAACAGACGCAGTGGGTGCCGTGCTGTGCAGACACACACAACACAGACAGTTCCTCCAGGCTGAGGGGTTGTGAAGACCACTCCAAATCTGCTCTGGCTTTGTTTCAGAAAGGGCAATTTTCAGACCGTAGCTATTAACGGTGATTTCAGGTCTCATTAAGAATAAGTAAGAGAGAAAAACAAATGTTGTTTCCCAAGTTATAAACTTCTGTGATATATCAAAGGGGCCAAGCATAGCAAGCCAATTGATCAAGGCTGACTGGATCAATTTTAGGCGTGGGGCTGTGCTCACACACTGTGAAGTCAGTGTCTCTTTTGCAGCCAATAACTGTTTGACTTCAGGCAAGTGAAGAGTTGGCTGTTGAGAAAAACGGCATGGTCTAGAGAGATCATTTGAAAACGCCTGCGTATCACCAAGGCTACTTTTCCATGGCAACTCCCGGACTCCAGAGGTGGAGCGAGGGCCCGTACCTTGTTTTCCTCCCTGTGGGCTGCTGGGCTCCGAGCTCACTTTCCTCTCTATCTTCTCAGACGTCTGAACCGTGTTAAAGGAACCGTACCGAGCCAGCCTCTGTTTCGCACACACTCGGATCTGGCCATATGTTTCTCTCTTCCATTCCGGTAAGACAGAGGCAGAGACATCCAGGAGCTCTTCGTCTAGGGGGAGAAAATCAGAACGGCAGTGCAGTTAAACAGCTACAGTCTAGGGTAATTTTCACCTTTTTAAGGGATGGTTCTGAGCGGCAGGAGAGATGGCTGCCCTTCAGGAGAACTCAGGTTCGATTCCCAGCACCCACAGGGCAGCTCACAACTGTCTGGAAGTCCAGTTCCAGAGGATTGGACACCCCACACAGACATACATGCAGGCAAAACTCCAAAGCACATGAAATAAAAATAAAAAATAAAGAGATTGCTTTAAAGTTACAATTGAAATGGAGTTATCCTATAAACAAACAAACAAACAAACAAAAAACTAAGACCATCAAAGGAATTTTATGAGCTATCTCAAACCCCAATTTCTTTCCATATACTGGAAAAGAAAAAATGGCTAACTATAACATGAGAATGAACCCATATGCATCCTAAAATTATCCCAACTGCAACCGAAGTGGAGCAAGATGTTCTGCAACTTGAATTAGAACAGACCCAACATTTTTATGCTCGGTTAGGGTCCGATAGCAAAGGAAACCCGGCCACGTTCAGCTCCGCATGCGTGGTTTGAGATCCACTTTCAGGATGAATCGAGATCAGCTTCTCACTCCAAAGCTTCAGGGCAACACAGAGGAGAGTCTCACTTTCCTACTTGGCTTTATTTGTTTTTTTTTCTTGCACAGGTAGAGGCTTGGTTACCAAGTGACCACAGGAATAAGGTCAGCAGACGCCGGGGTTGAAGTGCTGATGAACAGCGAGAGTAGGGATGGAATGTTGGGCCCTGAAGACCATTTTATGTTTCAATGTAAAAAGATGGACATTTCTGTAGCTCAGGCAGCCATCCCACGGTCTGGCCGGTTGTTCCTGCCTTGTTTATTTGTGTTCATTTCTTATATGCGCCGAGTGTACAGTGTACAGATTTTAATTATAAATCTGATTTGACATGCTGAAAAAGTCCAGCTAGACTTTTAGAAAATGCACTCTGACCTAATGCGACTTTGAAACCGAACCAAAAATAAATCTTGATGGCTTTTGCTGTCATGCAACAAAAGCCCAATATATGTTGCCTTTATATAATCAGAAGTACAAGACGAAAAGAAGAAGAAATAGGTCGAGTCAGTCCCAGGGATCATAGCTCCTCGCTCTCCTGAATCAAATAAAACACTGAACAGGAATGTATACCCCGTGGCTCTTAAGACACTAGGCAGGGGATGTGGGAACACGACGACCCCTTAGAGCAGACGTGAAATTAAGCAAGCATAGACTCTCCTAAATTACTGCCAGAAGGATGTTTCTAGGTTGGGGTGCAGGAACCCGAGAGTCTCCCCAAGCTGAGGTGCAGCTGGAGGACCAAGGCACGGTGGCAGGCAGCTAGAGTTGGCAGGGCAGGACAGTGGTGGGGACATCAGTATGCATCTAACATTTACTCTAATGGTACACTTTCACAAGGACGTTCCCTCATTGATAAAATCTGGATGACACACCATTGCTAAGAGCAGCGAAGCCTCCACCATTCATTCATTCATTCATTCATTCATTCATTCAGAGACAGTCTCTCAATGTAGCACTGGCTGGCCTGAAACCCACCTTGTAGACCCAGGGTAGCTTCGAACTATAGAGATCACCTGTCTATATCTCTCAAGTGCTGAGTGGAAAGCCAGCCACCACTGTGACATTACAGCCCATTTCTCCTTTGACACCTAGGAGCATTGGCTTTATATACTTGGGTGCTTCAGCGCTAAGGGCATACATAAACACTTTTTTTTTCATAAACACAATTAAAATTCCTGGCCGAATCGCTCCTCTTATGACTAAATGCCCATTGTTTCTTGTTACTATTTGCGACATTAACCCCGTTTTATCTGATGTAAATATAGCTACTCCTCACTTCAGATTCTAACTGCGGGGTATATTTTTTTTTGCTACTCCTTTACTTTCTGTTGTCAGGTCTCTTAATGGTGTGTCTGAGTGCTTCTTAAGACTGGATTTCTGTATCTTTCACAAGACTCAAGGACTCTATGGCAGTTTCTACATCAGTGTTGATTTCTCAGGCTCTTTCCTGTCCCTCCTCTTCCGGAATACAGTCATATGAATGCCTGCTTACTTATGGCGGAGGAAGGAAATCTGATCATTGGGTCAGTGTGGCCACTGCGCAGGCTTTATCTTTTAATGGCGGGGAGGGTGATCTGTGCACATTCTTTGCCATCACAAATAGTTCATACTGATCATTTTGTTCATTCTTTTCCGTCCATCTTCCCTTATGTCTTTGAGGTTTGGTTTGCTACATCAATTAAGTTTGATTCCTTTTCTTCTTTGTAAAACTGCTCTGCTAGTATGTTTTATATCCGCAAGATATACTTATCCTTTGCTTCTAATGTTAAGACTTTAGGCATTTAAATGTTATTGCATTTATTTTAGAGTTTTGTGTGCATGCGTGCACACGTGTGTGTGTGTGTGTGTGTGTGTGTGTGTGCGAGCGCGCATGCGCGCATTGGAGATCAGAGAGCAGCTTGGGGGGAGGTGGTTATTCTTTCTGTTTTGGGTTCTCTGCATTCTCGGACAAAATTACCAGGCTTGGCAGCAAAAGCCTTTCTTTACGTGCTCAGGCATCTCACTGGTCTGAAAAATTTCTGACAAGTCTATAAAGCTGGTCCAGTGGGGACAAATTTAATCAGGTTTTGCTTGTTTTATATATATAAAAAATCTGCCTCATTTTTCAAGGATTACTTTCCTGGAAATAGCCTTCTCATTATTATTTTTGTTAGTTTGAGACAGGGTTTCTCTGTGTAGCCCTGGCTGGCCTCGAACTCACAGAGATCCACCTGCTTCTGCCCCCCACCCCCGTGCTGGGATTAAAGGTGTGTGCCACCACCACCCAGCTCCAAGGATTCCCATGTTTCTGGCATCCGTGCTCACGGGTGCACTCATCTGCACAGGTATGGGTGACTAATCATGTACATGATGTTTTAATCCTAAAAGGAAAAGAAATGTTAATTCTACATTTGAAAAGAAAATGTGAAGGGGTGCTGGGTGGTGGTGGCATGTATCTCAGAATGCAAGCCTATCACTAAGCAAGGCACGACTATTTTGAATGCTGATAAGGAGAGGGTATCACAGGTGAAGAGAAGCCAAAGGCACAGAAACAACAAAAACCATGAAGTCTTTTCTTTCACGTAGGCAGGGACCACTCCACACAAAAGTTAAATCTCTCGTGGCATTAAGTATAGTAAACGGCCTGCAGTCTACACAGTAAATTCTTGCTGGCTTGAAGTAGTTATACTTGATTTTAAGGGGATTTTTATCTAGATCCTAATATGATGTGTGATTTCCCTCCTCTGTATGCTGTGATTACCATTAATGAATAAAGAACTGCTTTGAGCTATAGCAGGGCAGGGTGGGGAGGAGCAAAGCTAGGCAGGGAGGACTGGACTGAATGCTGGGAGAAAGAAGGGCAGAGTCAGAGAGAAGCCACGTACTCCCTGCCGGAGACAGACGCTGGAAACTTTAGCTGGTAAGCCTGCCACTTGATTAACGAAGATGGGTTAAATTAAGGTGTAAGAGTTAGCCAATAAGAAGCTAGAGCTAATGGGCCAAGCAGTGTTTTAAATAACACAGTTTCTATGTGATTATTTCGGTTCTGGGTGGCCGGGACGAACAAGCAGCTTTCTTCCAACACTAATATGTTACCAAGGAGGCAGAGAGCTGTATCTTTTATAAGCCCTAGTTATGTGACACAAATTTGTATCACCATACCAATATGGAAAGGGCAATTCAAACATTATCTGAATGGCTGGTGCTCAGGCAGCATGGCTGCATGTAAGGTTCCTTGCGCAGAAGATCCAGTCCCTGGCCACACATATATTAACTGTTCCTTTGATATGGTTTAGCAAAATCATGGTATGTTTAACCTTTTAACTAAATGACATAAAAGGCATCCGATATGTCCCTACCGTGCCAGCTTTGATCATAGTTTTTAAACCCTATGCAGGAGTTCCCTGAAAAACAGTGGCTTATTTTACAGATGTAGAAATCACCCAAGTTCAGAAGTGTCTCTTTAAATTTGGAGTCCCAAATTTTTCAGGGAAAAGTTCCAGAACAAAATAAAAGCTCACAAATGAGTATACTTCAGCAGTTACGTAAACCCGTGGTCTCCTAGTATTTTCCTTCCTGATGTGAATGAGGCAACAGCACCTACATTTGCTGGGCAGTAATTATAAGTCCAAGAGCGACGTCACTAGTGTAACAGTCAATGTGACATAGAGAACGGGGAGAGGTCGATTTTGCTGGAACGCCACAGCAGGTCCTCAGCAGAACCCATCTCCTTACCAATGGAGCTGAAGTCCACGGGCCCGATCCACTTGAAGGCTGGTTTACGGCCTCGCTCTTCCGTGACGTGCACTTTCTTTATCAGAGCCAGGCTGGTCAGGACATTGGCTATGTCATAGAGGCGCCGTACCTTTGCTTGAAGATAGAAAACACAGCTAAGGTCATGCCATGTGCAATGCCACTGTATTTTAGTTTACACAACAGGGGACATTCCTTGGCTACCATGTGAACCTCCAGAGGACAGGGGACATGAGATGGACGGCTGTCATGGTATCAGTAAAGAGCTATGCACACGAAGCACATGCAGACACACAAGTATCAGGGGAGGACAATGTGCCCTTCCTTGCCTTCCCACAACATCACATCTTGTGTTGGAGCCCTTTGCAGACAGGCAGGGAGCTCCATGATAGCAAAAAATACCGGGGGAGACAGGCTGGGATGAAAGGCTTTGTGAATATCACTCTGGTATGTGGCCACCAAAAGCTTGTCTCGCCTGTCCCCCAGCAAGAGGTGGTGGCGCCCGCCTCACAGGCGCTGACCTGTGACAATGACAGGGATTCCCCAGGGTCTCTGTGAAGCCACACTCCTGGTACACAGGATGCGGAAGATTCAAGGTCATGGGGTACAGTTTTGTAAGAGAGCAGGTGCTCACCTGAAACCCCGGCCAAGCCGGAGAGGCGTGATGGGTGAGATCTGCATCGAAAAGAATATTGGAGAAACTTTGGAAAATGCATGTATGGAGTGTGTGTGTGTGTGGGGGGGGGGATGACACGACTCAGACGGTGCGTTCAAAAACAGGACAAGACGGCCTGTCTGCTTTTCTAGTCAAGAGTTGAAGGAAGGGTCACACGTCTACTTGATGTCAGGGTTACTGCCAGGGTCGGGCTTTATCTTAACCATTTCACCAGCAGGATGGCTATTATTCCAGCCAAAACCAAAACACTACCGGAGAATGATAAACCCCTGGCTCCTTACCAGGGCACGGACCCTGCAGCTAAGCTCAAAGGGAAAGGAGGGTGCAAGCGTGGGTGCGACACCCAGAGGCTCTCTCCTCCGGAGCAGCCCTGTCCCCGCCCCCCACCCCAGCCCTGGCCATTCCTTGGGTGCTTACCTGTAGAAAACTTTCACCTCCAGCCTTCAGAGAAGTAGGCGGGGGATGGGGAGAGAAGGGGAAAGAAGACTCAGGCATTCTGTCTCGGATGTAGCATCACCAAAGAGAAATGCTAATCGTTCACACCCTCCCGGGCTCTCGGGGGAGCATTCTGATTCGCCCTGTCCACTATAATGGTGGAGGGAAAGGCGCTTGACGTGGATCTGGTGGGGGGGTTCTATTAGCTGATTGACTGTTTACTGCACGCAGGGCTTTTATGAGCACCAGGGCTACATTTCTCCAAAACCACCACCGTCAATAAAAACCCTCTCTGGATATATTTATTTCGGAGGCAGGAAGCAGCGTCAGCAATCCGGCCCTTTTGTGCTGATACATGGATTAGGTGAAAGCTCTTACTTTTGAATTTACTGTGGTCCGGGGTGTCTTGGCTTTCTTCTATGAGGATTTTGGCAGCCACGTCCAGGGTAACAATCTTGGTTTTGGAGACAAGGAACAGCATGACAAACTTCTGGCTCATAATTCGGAGAGATTTATCTTTCCGACTGTTTGCAGATGCTAAAACGGGAAGGAGAACAGAAATCACCAAAACGCGGCTTTGCCACAAGAAAGACTTTGCTACCAGTTCCCCAGCTCCGCCACTCCTCACTCCGCCAGCATTGGCGGGATCATCGGGTAACGGGCAGATGCCACTGGAAGCACATCACAAAAATAAGCCCGTAAAGAAATCGGAAGGATCTCCCCGCATCTCATAAAAGGGTTGTGATTTTCCACTGCTCTTAATAGTTCATGCTCACATCACGTGACAGAAGCCACATGGCAGGTTTCCTTAAGCCGCTCTGAAGAGATGAATGCAGACAGATAAAAGGACAGGGTAGGGACCAGGAGCTGCGTTTAGAACACCGACCCTCCTCTCAAAAGCGAGAACTCCATTTATGTGTTGTGTGTGTACGTGTTCGTGTGGATGGGTGTACATGCTCACGTGGAGCGGGTATTTGCGCATGCGTGCGGAGCCCAAAGGTCGACAAGTCGTACTTCTCCAACTGCGTACAGTTTTAATTGTTGAGGCAGGGTCTCCCACAGAACATGTAGCTCACTGACTATTTAGGGAGCCCCTTGGATCCTACTACCTCTGCCTCCCTAAGTGTTAGGGTCATAGACACACACCACCGAGGTACTTGACTGTACTTGGTACTGGGGATCTGAATTCAGGTCCTCAGCTATCTTCCCAACCCAAGAACCCCATTTTTCTGTCATTACCATGTCTAGAAGGCACCCTAACAGTAGGGCCTGCCTTTACACAAACAGGACACCGATTATCTTTGTGCTTCTGTGGATGGCAGAACCCCCATAAGATGACTGTCTCCTTTGGCTATAGGGTAAGTACTTCCTTATGGGGTGGAGCTAGATGGCATGAAGTTGTGGAGCTAAAGAAAACCATTCTACCCTTTGCCAGCGTCCAATAGTGCAAGGTAGCGTGTCAGTGATGCCTGTATGTGCCATTCTCAAAACGGGGGGATGTGGGACTGATGGGTATCAATGCTTCAGCGAGAAGAGACGGAGAAGTTGGAGTAAAGGAAGAACAGTGAAGACATAACAGACTCAACGATGGGGGTTGTTCTTTTTAGCAATCTACTCAAACAAGATAATTGAATAAAATGCTTTGAGAAGAAAATGCCTTCAGTGTGAAGTCTCAAGGCAAACAGTATGTGGTTATCAGTCTCTATGGCTCCTACATTCTGACCAGGAGAACTGTCACAAGTGAGGAGGAGTGGGCAGCTCAGCTGGCGGCCAGGGCAAGAGTGCACCCCACCCCGCCGTCAAAAGACTCTGTTCCCAGCTTCCAGAGACCATCACTCCCTTTGCTTTTTCATGAACTCATAGTGGACTCACAAGAAGGGTAGTCGGACTCAGAAAAATCAAGTAGGTGTTGATCTTGGGGATCCGGGGAGCCATCTTTCCTGCGCTCCCCGAACCTGTAATCCACCAAGTCCAGCTCCTTCTGCTGGAGGCAGGCCATCTGCTCTTCGTACTTCTGCTCCTCTCCCAGTCTTTGCAGCGTCCTCAGGGTTCTGGGCAGGCTGTGTCGACCGTGCCAACCATACTGATTCTTTGCCACCCGGCTGACCAGATGCAGGGACTCCAGCACATTGACGATGTCATAGATGCGTCTTCTCTCCACACCTGGTGGCAAAAGGAGAAGGTGGATGACATCACACAAGTGGACATTTCTGCGTATCCACTCCCGAAGGGTCTGGATAGGTTCCGTGAACTATTTGACTGATGTTAATGTCTAGCAACCATGCCTACTGGACACCAGCTGGCTGCGAGTCACCTGCACTCCTAACTGGTTGGTGGACTTGCATAAGTTCCTTGTCTCACTGACGTGACAGAATATTTGACTGAGGCAATGGAAGGTTTGTTCTGACTCATTGTTCAGGGAGGCCAGCCCAGCATGGTGAGGAGGGTCACAGTGCCGGGATGGGAGGCGGCGGCTGCACCTATAGTCAGGAAAGAGACGAAGCTGGCCTGCCTGCCTTCTCATTTTAGTCTGCTAGGGACCCTCCCCCACGGGACTGTGCTGCCACATTCTGGGCGGGCCTTGCCGGTGCAGAGCTTTCTGGAGATACCCTGGAAGGCTCACCGAGAGGATGTGTCCCTGTGATGTGCCTAAATCCTGTCAGCACACTGACAGCAAAGATTAACAATCACAGCGCTAAAAAATAAGACTCTCACCCCATCACCAGACAGGTACTGTCTTGTCTTGAGGGTTTGAACGGTATAACACGATACACTCCCTCTCTGCAGTCTGGTAAGGAAAGTGGATGGTAAATATTGCCTCCGGTTTTGAACCGGCTGCTCCAGATTCAAGGGCTCGGTCCCCTTCGCATGTCCTTTATTTGCCATGGCTTGTAGTAACCCTCCTTGCGTTCTCGTTCACCATTGGCTAACGAGCTGGCCAGCAGGGAAGCGCAAAGCACAGCACAGGCCAACCGCGAAAATGAATTCACCGCCCCTTCCCTGCAGGCCCCCGAGCAGGGCCTCTAATGTCTGAACATACGTTTGCTGGCTAAGCGTGGAAGGTTTTAGAATCAGACTGCCTGGACATGAATCCTCAGTCTATCCCTTATAAGTCAAGAAGCTACCTAACATCTTTACAGTATAGTACTTCCCTTACAAAGTAATTAAGTTTGAACACAGACGTAAAGGGTCCTCAACAGTTGTTAATTTTATCTAAATACGTGCAGGATTTGGAGACAGCTACCCCCAAATTAATTAAGTTTGAACACAGATGTAAAGGGTCCTCAACATTTGTTAATTTTATCTAAATACGTGCAGGATTTGGAGACAGCTACCCCTGCCCCCCAACACAGAGTCACAGTGGAGGCAGATTTTAAGCATCTCTGGTCCAGGACTCACTCTCCTGAGTGACGGGCCCCAGGGGTGCTGTTCCCTTTGCTCTAAGGATCCACATTGAAGCCTCCAGGCCTTTGTAGAAAACCCAGACTGGCTAAAAAGAGGCTCCATTTGTTGCATCTGCCAGAAACAGACTCAGTGAGGGCAGCTTCGGGTTCTTGAGAGATAGAACAAAGACACCAAATAACAAAGACAACTCGGGACTGAGGAGGAGTCCGGAGTCCTCTTCACCACACACACGAAGAGGCATTTCACGGTCAATCAGAACGTTTCCACTCATGACCCCGACTGGCCTGTCCTCCACCCCAGGCTTGGCGTCAGCTGCCTGCTGGAAGGTCCTGGCAGGAGTCTCTTGTCCAGAGTGGTCTGGTTCTTTAGTCGGTTTCCACACAGTCACACATCCTGTGTAGCCTGTACCATCCCATAAACCTTCCCATTAGAAATGTCATGTGAAGGCAACCGAGACACCCCGGAGCTGGCCAGATGCCTGCCTGCTGTGTTATTTTGTGCTTGATCGTGAGCTGTTTAGTCTCCACCTAGTGGCCAGGCATCACAAGACACGATTCGGACTGCTTCGAGAGTAAGTTAGAATGTGCAGCTGGGCACTTGGTAGGCTGTTTTGGCAAACGCCAAATGCGGCAGCCCCTTGCCAGCTTAATCACTTATTATTTCAATCATGCCCAAGTTTCGCTCTTTAGGGGGCTGGGCGGAATTTCCACTCACAGGTCTCAAGCCTGTGGGCTCCTCGGCGGCTTGCTGGGAGGACGGTTTTCCCTGGAATTCTGCCTTCTTTTGCACTGAGGTGGTCTTATTAATTCTACTCGTGGCCCCAACTGTACATATAAGGACTTAAAGACTACTACTGTTTTTTCCTAAGTCTACTTTCCTAGGAACTGAATAAGAACATTACTCGACTCAAATGTTGTCCTGTTTTCTATTTACTCAAGTCGTTCCCAAGGTCTTTAAACGCTTCCTCATTAACTCTGGAGTCAAATCTCCATCGCACGACTCTGGGAACAACAGTATGAAACTTTGCACATATTTGGGTAGATGGCGGCCTTTTAAATTAGGGAGCAGGGGATTCGGACTCAAGGCCAGGAGATGATCACTGAGGAAAAGAGCTTCTAGGGAGAGACGCTAGCTTTCAACCCTGCATGAGAAGAGACGGCAACACATTTTACTTTAGTGGGTCTGTGTCGTCATGGGGCACCAGGAGGCTGTTGTGAAAATTTCTGGCTGAACTCATGGCAAAGGGGTGGGGTCAGGGGAAGACATCCTGAGGTCTAATGAGGACACAGGATGATCTGGTACTTAACCCTCATTTTCTGCAAGACTGTTTTCCAGGACCCCGCCAGGACCGAGTTAAGCACGTGACTCGCATTGGCTCAACTCTGTGACATCTTGGCAGTTTATGTTACAGACAAGAAAGAGTTAATAACTTCTCAAAGGTCTTACGAGGTGGGTAAGTTCAGAGCTGGGCCCTGCTGACCCCGGATCCTAGCCCGTGCCTATCCTTCACCTCAGTTTCCAACAGTCCGAAGGGCTGTCAGCTCGGGTAACTCAGACTGACAGCCCACTACTCTGGCGTGTTTCTCTGGGTTGTGGAAGACAGACAGCTATGAACATGACTATTAACCGTATTTAGCTTATCCCCCATATGGAAAGCTCCCTGGTTTATTCAGTGGATAGCCCAGCATACTCCCAGACTAGCGTGATTTCTATTTAATCACAATCAGCAATCCAATCATCCTGAAAGACAGTCCCTGTCCACTAGGGGTCTCTCATCCAAAGCGACGGTATATGTATTTGCAGCTGTGCAGGCAGGCGTCCCACGGTACACACGCTCCTGCCACGTGAACACACGCGTTCTTCTTTGTTAGGAAGCCTAGCTGTTTGATTTATGTCCAGCTGTGCACTTCCCGTTCTGACAGGCTGGCCATGAAGACCATGGCACAGGGTTTCAAGCAGCATGGTCTTGCGCTCAAGTTTTTGCTTTATGAAGGCAATGACACTTGTTCCAAACTCTTTGAAGCATTACTAAAAATAAAATCTGTAATTTTCTCTAGAGACAGGGTCTCACTGGCCCCAAGTGTACAGTCCTCTTGCTTACTGGGGTTATAGGTATGTGCCATCAGACCCAGCTTATATTGTTAGATTAACATAAAATATAAAACAGTTAAAGAGCTTTTTTTTTCTGTATGGTGTTATGTATTGTATTTGTGGGTAAGCCCATTTTCTACATGATCAGCGAATTCTTTACCACTCAGCTATAGCCCTGCCCCCTGACATATTTAAGATTGAAAGCCCTAGAGTTTCTTTTTGGCCCCGTGGGTTCCTTGAACTCTGTGCACACTGAAGGGAGATCTGGTGGCGATGGAGGCAGCTCCATCCACTCCCTACCTGAAGCCTCTGGCCCACCCCAGGTGACCTGCTTCCCACTGTCACAGACGACAGGTCTCCGGTTAATCGGGCGATACATACCAAGACTGACGGCGACTTCGTCTAGGGAGATGGTGGTTTTCTCAGTGGACAAGGGGTAACTTGGGTAGCGAGCGAGAAACTTCTGGCACAGCAGTCCCAAGCTTTTCTGCTTTCTGCTCGGCCTTTGCTTTTCATAGTCATCCACGACACCGTCGCCAACGACGTCGAGCTACGGAGGGCGGACAGGAAGGGTGGGGAGAGATGCCAGGTTACCACCTTAACTGCTGATGTTTGAAAGCCCATTGGCAACATGGTCCCATACACACCATTCAAGATTCCGGCGAAAACAATAAAAATTAGAATGAAAAAACTTTTAAAAAAGAAGGGATTTATACACAGAGTCGTCTTAAATATAAGTTCTGTGAGCTGAGAACCATCAGAAAGGGGAAAAACAAATACCAACTGAACCAGGATATATGAAACACAGTGATTGATGAGTTTAGTGTGCAGAATACACAACCATCTCCTAGAAATCACTATGAGAGAGAAAAACAACCCAGTACAAACCAACACACACAAACGGCCACCACAGAGAAGAGGAACAACCATGGCGGCCAGTGGTCACATAGAAAGACACAGAAAGACACAGACCACCCGGTAACTTGACAGAGTGATAAGTGACAGTTTCAGCGACACGGATCAGTCAATGTCTCACATACCTCGTGGAAATGGGCAGGCGCTTGGGAATCCATGTGGCACCCACCACCCTGTGAATGTGTGCACGGCCAATGATGGTACTTCCACTAATGGTGAATATAATCATTCTTTGCAGGATCAATATACGTTCCTGAAAGATTCTCTGCATAACCCTGGCTTTCCTGGAACTCGCTCTGTAGACCAGGCTGGCCTTGAACTCACAGAGATTGATCTGCCTCTACTTCCCGAGTGCTGGGATTAAGGACAGTGGCCGGTGTGAGTGTTATCCCAGGAAAACTGGAGCAGGGAGCACCACAGACCTCACCTTCTGGGCATGGAAGCTGATGCACTCAGCCACACCCACTCGTGACCCCCTGAAGCTGGGATTCTTGTGGTTTTCAAAGCAAATAAAACACAGAAAGGAGGCCAGGGAAAAGAACAGACGTACAAGATGAACGATGAACAGTTTCTGGCTCTGAGGGCAAAGTTGTTGCTCTCCAAACTGCATGATCTGCATGCAGCCACCCAGAGGAACCTCTGCCACGGCAGTGGCATGTGTGGGAGAGTAAACGCCCTTTGCTCTGTGAGCTTCAAGCTCTAAGTTGAGACATCTCCTTTTCTTTCCCGATTTCTATATTCTGGCAAATTCTACAACGTTAAAAAAAAATAATACACCACAGAAGGGGAAAAATAGCTAAGAAGACTCTAATCTGGAAGTCATCTTCCTTGGGAGGTCTCAGAAAAAAGGTGGGTGGGAGAGAAAATTACTGACTGTTAGGTCTTTTAAAAACAGTACGAAGAAGCTGTTCACTGAGCAGCTCTACGTCTTTGCGTGGTATGTAATTTAAAGATGGCCTGAGAGCCTTCTGAGTTAAGAGTTGGGCATGTGGCTTGGTGGCAGAGGGTTCGCCCACTATGTATAAAGCCTTGGGCTGAATCACTAGCAGCTGTGGTGGTTTGAGTTACGAATGGCCCCAGATTCTCATATATTTGAAGGCTTAGTCATCAGGGAGGGGCACTATTTGAAAAGGATTAGGAGGTGTGGCCTTGTTGGAGGAAGTGTGTCTCTGGGGGTGGGCTCTGAGGGTTCAAATCCACACCAGGTCCAGTGTCTTCCTTTTGGCCAGCGGATCGGCAGGCCAACAGCTCTTAGTTACTTCTTCAGAGCGATATACGCTGCCATGTTCCCCACCCTGATAATAATGGACTAAACCTCTGAAACTGTAAGCCAGCCCCAACTAAATGCTTTCTGTTATAAGAGTTGTCTCAGTCAAGGTGTCTCTTCACAGCAACACAACAGTGTCTAAAACAGCAGAAACACCCCCCATCCCACACCCCACCAATCAGTCAACAACAAAATAAAAGAACTCTCCCAACCAAAAACCTAAGCAAATAAAATTAAAGAAATACATTAAACTAGTTTAACTTGAATAAAGTCCCCAACTAGCAAACAGAATAATAGAACTTTCCTAGTCAAAATTACTGAAATGAAAAATTCTCAACAGTGCTTAAAAAAAAAAAACAAAAAAACCAAAAAAACCAGAACCCAAGTTTCTTTATTGAATCAAATTACTAATATGTTATTTTTAAAATGCGGTCTGAAAAGGAAGAAAGAAATTAATTATGAAAAATAAGAATCTAAGAGAAAATTCAGCTGTTAACCGAACGATTCCGTGTTTCACACTGTATGTGACCGGACGGGCATCCTTTTTCTTTTTAATAATCTCATAAATCTTTGCGGTTTCCCAAGGCCTCCGAGCACAGCTAGTTACCTGCAGCGAGTTCACAAATGCATCCTCCTTATTCTCGATGGGTCTGAACAGCCCCTTTTTCTTCTCCCGGTCTCTGATGTCGGGGCTGGCAGCGCTGATAAGCATCTTGAGGTTGGCTGTGGGCGTCCATGGCTCCACCTGCTGCTGCCTGTCGACCAGCTTTACTGGCGTGATGGGATTTCTTTCTGGAGTAAAGATTCTCTGCTTTGACAGATCAATTGGCTCATTTTTCATCGGAGTCTTTGGGGTCATCCTTGATCGATCAACAAATATATTTTCCTATTTAGAGAAAAGAGAACTTTCAGCTCGGTTAAGGAGGGGCAGGAGTCGGCTAAGTGTGCGGAGTTTGTTCCACTTCGACTTGGAAATTCAAACACGTGATCAGGGCTGGAAAGAATTGGGACTGAGCTCTATGGGCACCGACGGGTGGCTCCAAGGAGACACCCATTATAGCTGCTACTCCCTTTACACATATTTCCCATGAAGTGTCGGTAAGAGAAATCACAAACGTATCTAACACCAACAGATGCTTATAATAGCTGTAAATGAAGAAGGCCAGTTGAGTCTTTTTTTTTTTTTTTTTTTTTTTTGTTCCTCAGGGCCATATTTTTTATAGTTTCAGACCCTACTTACAAGTTTGAATTTACCAGTAAAGAACAGCTATGTCTTTGGAGTTAGGTGTTCAAAAGCCACCAGTAACGGGACAAGTCAAAGGGACAGAAGCCAACAAAATACCAGCGTATGCTAACCTGAGAGCTGACTGCTGTTTTCTGAGCAGCGTTTCTTCAACCATTCAGTGAACGACCAGTTTTTCGCTTGTTTGTTTTGTTTTCTATTTCCTGAGTCCTACATACTGCTAAGCCACATTTCCCTCATAGGACTAGCGTGGAATTCCCACAACATATGATTGACCATTTGAGTTTCTCACTTAAATCAACCTCCAGCCTCTGCAACAAGTCATAAGACGAGATGCCCCAAAGGCAGCATCAAATCGCTAGCACGGTTCCTAAGTGCTCAGGGCCAAGCTTTTGCTCTTTAGCTTTTGCAATCTTGGAACAGATGGTAAAGCAGCACCTGCTCCCACACCACACTGCATGTATGCTGCCTTAGACAACGATAAGAAAGGGTTCAACGCACTGGCACAGGTGACACTTCCTAAATATAAGCCCAGCAGCACAGACACTGAGAGAAACAATGAATAAATGGGACCTCCTGATACTAAAAAGCTTCTGTAAAGCAAAGAACATGGTCAACAAGACAAAATGACAGCCTACAGAATGGGAAAAGATCTTCACCAACCCCCACATCAGACAGAGGTCTGATCTCCACAATATACAAAGAATTCAAGAAAATGGTCATCAAAAGAACAAATAATCCAATAAAATATTGCAGTCCAGCCCTAAACAGAGAACTCTCAACAGAGAAACCTAAAATGGCTGAAAGATACTTAACGAAATGTTCAACATTCTTAGTCATCAGAGAAATGCAAATCAAAACAGCTCTGAGATTCCATCTTACACCTGAAAGAATGACCAAGATCAAAAACACTGATGACATCTTATGCTGGAGAGGCTGTTGGGTAAAGGGAACACTCCTGCATTGTTGGTGGGAATGAATGCAAGCTGGTACAACCCCTTTGGATATCAATATGGTGATTTCTCAGAAAATTAGGAAACAACCTTCCTTAAGACCCAGCAATACCACTTTTGGGTATATACCTAAAGGATGCTCAATTGTACCACAAGGACATGTGCTCAACTATGTTCATAGCAGCATTGTTTGTCATAACCAGAACCTTGAAACAACCTAGATGCCCCTTAACTGAAGAATGGATAAAGAAAATGAGGTACCTTTACACAATGGAGTACTATACAGCAGAAAAAAGTAATGACATCTTGAAATTTGCAGGAAAATGGATGGAGCTAGAAAACATCATTTTGAGTGAGGTAATCCAGACCCAGAAAGACAATTATCACATGTACTCACTCATAAGTGGTTTTTAGACATAGAGCAAAGAAAACCAGCCTACAATTCACAATCCCAGAGAACCTAGACAACAATGAGACATACATGGATCTTACCTACATGGGAAGTAAAAAAAGACAAGATCTCCTGAGTAAATTGGGAGCATGGGGACCATGGGAGAGGGATGAAGGGGAGGAGAGAGGCAGGGAGGGAAGCAGAGAAAAATGTAGAGCTCAATAAAAATCAAAAATGGCAAGAATAACAACAACAACAACAACAAAAAAGGGTTCAAATGGAGAACATGATAAAAAAATAAAAACGCATAGAGAGCCTGCATTTGGCTCCTACAAGTAATGGAAGTAAATATCTTTCCGATTTTTTTTTTCTATTATTTGAATCCAGAAAGATTTTTCCTCAAGTGGAATTCTCTTCCCGTCAACACACAAGTCAAAAGACGACAGGGCTCAACATGTCACTTTTCCTGGGCACGCATCTCCCATCCTGCTGCTATTGTATGCTCCAGTTCTGGTGGACCAATAGCTACCACAGTCCTGTTCTATAAAGAGGTAGACGACCGGGAGAAATTGGTGTTCGTGTTCCCAGGCCACCCGACGTTTGTTCCCTGGGTCAGCAGAAGCTGCCAGCTAGCTGCGGTGACACTCTGTTGTGCTGGAATGTGGCAGAAAGGTGAGGTGGAGGTGGTGAAGTCTCACAGCTCAGCGGCGGCAAACAAGCAACAATCCTGGTAGCAAGTCCCTGCTGGTGAGCCGTTCTGATGGTGCTTACAAATGAACCCTCAAGGGAAATGATGGAGCGTTTAATCCATGTCACACCCTGTTTCCTGGACTTGTATCAATCTCTAATCCTTTGGTGAAGGTACTATTGTTTGTTCCAGCTAACATAACCACAGGTACAGAGGTTTAGCAAGTTGCTTCAAGTCATGTAGCAGCAGCCCCTGGGAAAAGCACAGCATGCAAAAGACAGCTGAGGACAGTTTCTGAAATGGTACATCTACAGATGAGCTTGTTCTGGGTGCAAATTAGAAGGAAACTACCTTCTCCTAAGTTCCAAGAAAGGTGCCCAGTAGAACCTGGAGAGGCAGCACATAGGAGTGGTTATATATGCAGGGTCTCAGACTACTGGGCCAGGTCCTCCTCCACACCTCAGTTATTCCCATTTATTCAACCGAAAGACGAAGCTCATAAAAATACCAGCTTCAAGGGTTCAGACTTGTTCACGAGTGCATATTGAACACCCAATATAACTCAGCTATTATCTTTCTCCTTTTCCCCATTCTCTCCCACTGGCCCTGGCACTTAGCTCTAATAGAACATAGCACACTGCATTGTTCTTTAGCTTCCTAGATGGCTGGGGGACAATGGTCTTGTACACTGTAAAGATTTGTCACTTATAGTGTTTTAATAAAATGCTGATTGGCCAGTAGCAGGTGGGGTAACCAGAACAGGAGAATTCTGGGAAGAGGAAAGGCTCAGTCTGGAGTCATCACCCAGACACAGAGGAAGCAAGATGAGAATGCCTCACTGATAAAAGATACCAAGCCACGTGGCTAACACAGACAAGAATTATGGGTTAATGTAAGATATAACAGTTAATAAGAAGCCTGAGCTAATAGGCCAACCAGTTTATAATTAATGTAAGCCTCTGTGTATTTCTTTGGGACTGAATGACTGCAGGATCAGGCAGAAAAGAAACCTTGGTCAACACTGGATGTTTGTCTTTGTCTCAATAATGAGTCTGCACTTCTGGAGCCGGTCCCCCACATCATATTCGCTAGATGCCTTGCCCATTGCAGGTGCTGAATGGACACTAAGTCTTGCCAAAAGGTACCCTCAAGACACAAGGTGTGTCCTAGGCTTATGAGTAGACAGATTTACTCTCTTTCCCTTCCATTTCCAGGGTATGTGTCCAGGGTATGAGTTCTTAAGTTTCTCCATAGCGAGGGAGCAACTCAGGATGAGTAATCTCTTCATACACGGGTGCATTTTTAAAAATGCAGTTTATGTGAGAGAGTCATAGTGAAGTTAGGTAATGTGGCTGAGTTAGGGCTGTAATCCACCTGTGCTGGCTAGTCTCACGTCAACTTGACACACACACACACACACACACACACACACACACACACACACACACACCACACACCATCTGAAAGGAGGGAATCTCAACTGAGAAAATGCCTCCACAAGATCCAGCTGTAAGGCGTTTTCTTAGTTAGTGATTGACAAGGGAGGGCCCAGACTATTGTTTGTGGTGCCATCCCTGGGGTGGCGGTCCTGGGTTCTTTAAGAAAGCAGACTGAGCAAGCCATGGAGAACAAGCCAGTAAGCAGCACCCTCCATGGCCTCTGTCTACATCAGCTCCTGCCTCCAGGTTCCTGCCCTGCTCGATTTCCAGTCCTGACCTCTTTCAGGGATGAACAGCAGTGTGGAACTGTAAGCCAATTAACCCTACCTTCCCCAGCTTGCTTTTTGGTCATGGTTCTGTTGCAGCAATAGAAGCCCCAGCTAAGACAACACCTCTACACCAAAATTTAAAAATGGCACACAAATTGTGAACTCCCAGATAGGCAAGAAATAGATCAGGTATGATCTATTTACATGGTTGTCACCTGTCTGTACTGCCTTCCGGACACTGTGTGGGGCAGAACAAGGGATTAGAATAGTTCCAGATCTGGGTGTTCATTTTTCTTGATTCCATGTTTCCATATATACACAAAACACGGGGTTCAGACGAACCTTCAAGACTTTCTAGTAACGTGCCTAGCTGTATGGTCGACACTAGATGTACCCAGCTCTCTTCAGGAATGCATGAGTCATCTCCCAGCTGCTGGAAGCCATGCCAACAGTACATGCCCTTGGCTGGATCGCTTTGGCTAAGGAGAGCCCATGAACCCAGGAACACACCCATTGCTGGGAGGCCACCAGTGAACTCGGTGACGGGTAAAACTCCTACCAGTATGCAAAGATCTGGTCTTTTTGCCAACTCAGGACTACTCGTAGGGGTTTGCCTTGAATTCCATGTAGTGTTATATCAGAATTCTTTTGCGACTCAACTGCAGCTCAGTCTCTTGCCCTGTCCAATTTTGCTCCTTTCTGCCCTCTTTCTTCCTTTGCTACAATCCTGGGTACCTACAGTTTTCTGTATATCACACTCACGTGAGAGCCGCTCACTAGGAAATGTTGGACATCACTTAGGTCAGAGGATCCAGAGAAATGCGAGCCATGAATGGTCTCACAGCCCTCAGGTATAAAGGAAGGAACGAACCTGGGTTTATCTGCTATAAGGCTGCTGTGATACAACAAGGTAAAACACAGCTACCTGGGAAATGCTTTGCAAATGTTCACCACTGGTGTGGGACGTCCTTCTGTCTATGCGTTGCTTTTATTGGTTAATGAATAAAGGAACTGTATTGGGGAACAGAGCTGCTGGGGGGGGGACTAAATGGAATGCTGGGAGGAGGAAGGCAGAGTCGAAGAGACGCCATGGAGCTGCCAGAGTCAGACATGCCGAAGCTTTTCCAGTAAGCCACTGCTATGTGGCAATACAGATTAATGGAGATGGGTTAAAATAAGATGTAAGAGTTAGCCAATAAGAAGCTAGAGCTAATGGGCCAAGCAGTGTTTTAATTAATAGTTTTTGTGTGATTATTTTGGGTCTAAGCTAGGCCGGCAGCTGGGAACCAACAAGCAGCCCTCCATATTACACACCATTATTATTAATAAGTACCGGTACTATGGCTATGGGGAAACATGCTGTATATTGCCACAGAAAAGGCTTGGAAGCTAAAAGACCTGAGTTCTCAACTTGATTATGTCTCTCTATAGCCTTGATTATGCAATCTCAAGTCACGTATATGACTATCAGCTTTGCAAGACTCTTGATGGTGTCTGACTGATGTCTTCTCCAGTCCCGTCTGCATACACAGCTCACACATGGTCCCATTGGCTTTCTTCAAACCTGTCCTCCATCACACTCTAACCCTTCCCTGAACATTGCAGAGCCCTGCCTGTGGAAACCCCGCCTGCTGCTCAGGGCTCACAGCAGAGACTCTGTGTCAGGAAGTGTCCCCTGGCTATGGGCCATCAACTCTCCTTCCTGCCAGAGCACACTTTTAGAAAGAGCAGTCCACAGTGAGACCTTCTTCCTGTCATCTTCCACGACGTTCCCCATCCATTCGTCTGTTCTAATCCATGCTGTTCACTCAGATCACCTCTTGGCTGGCCACCAAACTAGTGCTGAAGCCATCTTGCTTCCCCACCCCATCGAAGCAGTAAGCGGGACAGTGAGTCTTGGCTCTATAAAATCTAGACTTCAGCTCCTGAGACACTGCACATGCGGTCTTTGCTCTCCGTATTTCTGAGAGCACCTTCTCAATCTCCCTCACTGGGTTTCCTTTCATACTCCTACAAATTACACGAGTCCACATCCAGACCCCTAGCTCTCCTCACTCTCAGGTTCACCCAGCCTCATACACGCGGCTTTAAAGGCAAACTATGTGCTCACAATTCGAAATTTGGGTTCACGACTATAACCTTTCAAGAATTCTATATCAGCCAACCAGCTGATTCCTGCTATCTGTCTGCCTGTCACACAGGTGCAAGCATATTCTAAGCTGAATCTGCCATCTTCCTTGGCCACTCCCCAAAGTCGTTCAAGGCCTTTAAAGAAAACACATGGAAGCTCGTGGGTGGTATGAGCCTGTTATTCTAGCCTCACACTTCTCCGGCCTCAGCCTCTAGGGTGCTGGATTAGAGGCATGCACCGTCAGGTCCAGCATGCTTCTACTTCTTTACCGGTCGCCCTCTTCTCACATTCCAGGGCCTTAGCATGCACCAGCCATTTCACCAAGTCCTCTTAATAGCTCCATCCTCTCTGCCCCAAACTGTCCATCAGTCTGGACACTGGTCAGTCTATTTATTATACCATAACCAAAAACAGTAAGGTCGGGCGATCATGCTCCACAAGTTCCCTTTTTCAAAGTAAGTTTCTCTGAGAGTGATGAGGGGATGTGTGCATGCCAATCTGGACCAGAGTGTATGTCAAGGAAGAGGTCCTCTAAGGGACAAGCGATCCAGTGATGCCCTCCCTGGTAACCCCCGAGGGATCTTCGGAAGGAATAGCTTTGCCTCCCTGGCTTCTGGCCACTCTGGATTTCTCAAACCTTTTTCAAAGTCTCAAACGTTGTTTCTTTTGTCTGAAATGTTCCTCTCACTACCTCTTTTTAGTATAGATTGACTTTTCTTACCTAGTAAGGCTCAACCCAAATCCTGAGGGAAAAAACAAAAACAAAAAAACAAACAAAAAAAAAAAACCAAACCCAAAAACTCCCCCTGAAGCCTTCCAATGCCCATGCATGCATTTCTTTGAGTTTAATCTAGTTGGCTACTTTTCCATCTGGGTCTCTGAAAGCCTCTCACACAATCAAAGGGCAAGCTATGATCGGACCGTTATGATGTAGGATGTCCTTCTGTGAGTTCCTTTTATTGGCTAATGAATAAAGCTGTTTCGGCCAATGGTTTAACAGAGTAAAGCCAGGTGAGAAATCCAAGCAGAGATACAGAGAAAAAGAAGGCAGAGTCAGGTCAGATGCCAGCCAGCTGCTGAGGAAACAAGACATGCAGAAAACGAGGTAATGCCCAGTCTTGTGGCAGTACAAAGACTAATAGAAATGGGTTAACTTAAGATGAAAAGAGCTAGCTAGAAATCCTGGCCAGTGTTGTAATTAATATAGTTTCTGTGTGATTATTCCAGTCGGGATGGCTGGGAGAGGACACGACAGTTCCTATTTATACTCTCATTTTAATTCAGAACAACATGAAAAATGTATACGCTAGGCACTATATAAAAACCCAACGAGCGAGGTGATTTTCACTGGCTCCAGTTCATAGGGGTAACCAGCAGACTAAGAAAGGTTAGGTGATACTAACCTTCCCTATCTCTAGCCTTCGGAACACAAATATTTGCTGGAAAACCTTAAAAATATGTTTATTTGGGGTCATGTAGCTAGTTAATGGCAGGGCAGGAAATCAAACTCGGGTCTCTGTGACTATACACCCCATGTTCCTATCATACTTAGGAAACTTCTTTTATGTAGCAACGGGGAGAGGACAAAGGATCCCCCAATGTCCCCACAAAACCACTCTGTTCTCATCTCTTGCCTCCTCTCTGAGCTGAACCCCTGCTTATTCATTCCAGTTCAAATATTGTAACCGCTTTCCCAATCTGTTGAGTCATTTAGGTTTCTCTGCACCCCCATGAGGGTTCAACAGTACTAGCTGAGACAAACTGAGCAGCCCTTGGGGAAGGTATCGGGCAAGTCATTGACCAGAAAGAGAATGGAGTACTGACTGGGATGATTTTATATATTATTACACACACACACACATTCTCTTTCTCTCTCTCTCTCTCTCTCTCTCTCTCTCTCTCTCTCTCTCCAGAACCATCCTAATTACAAAGGAAAACAGAAAACCTGCCAAAACAAAATTTGGAATATATTCTTAAGGTCATACTCTTAGGTGATGCTTAAATCAATAATGTTTTGGCATATATCTCCTCCTCTGACAAAAATACAGTATCATATGAAAGGATGTTCTTTGCCACCAAGCAGGTTCACTGTTGACCCTAACCTAAAACTAACACCTGGTATCCAGAGAGGTTCAATGCCCAAGGAAGTTGCTACTATAGATGTACATTCAAGGTTCCTAAAACTGGTTTGTTGTACCTCTTTGCTTTTGCTTAAACAAACGCTCAGACTTCACTGCTCCAGCTTTCCCGCAGGGCATCCACTGATGGGCACACCTGTGCCATTGCAGGCCAAGGTGACGGCGTAGACATTGCTACGGCCAGTTTAGTCGGTAATGTGTTCAAGATGCACAGACGTGCATCAGTGTAAAAGGAGCAGAAGGGCTGCTAACTGCGCAGAATAGCTAGTGAGGGCCAGGCACGTTCGCCCTGTATGGTAGGCAGACTACACTCTTGGCAGAACCTCTGTATAAGATTCACTAAAATGAGGTAGGTATTTCTCAGCATTTTAACATTAAATCTGGTACTAAGATTTCTAATTTCTGCAAAGCATTAGCTAAACTGTCCTTGACAACTCTAAGCACTACACACTTGATTGCTGCACGCGGCATATCTTTGACTTTAGGATCTGGTTCCAACACTAGTGACTAGGTGCAGAACTGAAACAATGGTTCTTTAAAACTTCTTTTTTTTAATGGTCACCAAAACCGTGCTGTGCATAAGATGAAAGCCAGGCACCACCATCTAAAAGACGTTAGAGATTCAAGTGTTTATATGTGCTTACCTTTTGTGCACTTTCGGCATCTTCGACGGCAAAATCCAGTCTGGCCTGTCTGGGGCTCATCAAGTCTTTTAGTGTTAAACAATTTACCTCCATCTGGAACACACAATTATATCAGAAAACGATTTCACATTTACCTCCCGCTCCAACAACAGAAATGCCATTTGTGAACATCCACTTGCTCTTCCCTAGAGCATTCCTGGGAATTCCCAGGAACGCAGACACCCTCCGACCCTCATTAAAAACTCACTGAACAAACGCTTAAAACATACTTAGAAGTCACAGAAAATCTGGGAAGAAGAAAAACTAATCAAACCAGTAATTCTTTACAAAAACCAACAGGCGAAAGAGTTACCACATTAAGGAGGGTGTTGGGCAAATGTCAGAAACTTACAGGGTCTCCCAGGTCAGTTAATTTTGGCGCAAAGAACTGGGAGGAATTCAACTTTGAGTGGGTTGAACTAGGGGGTAGACTGAAACCCGATCTCGAGACCAACCCGTCTGGGATGCACGCAAGCCCCTCCCCAGGCAGGCATCTAAGCACACACCAAGTTGAACTCTTCCCATGGAACCCCCTAAATCGTGGGGAGGGACCACTCTCCTTCACCCAGGGCTGCAGTCACCACCACCGCCGGGCCACTCGGATTCCGGGCCAGTGGGATGGCAGCCCCGGGCGGGCGGGTAGCCCTTCTCCCCATTCCCGCCTCCCCATCCGCAGGGGCCGCACGCTTCCTTACTGCCGCTGTGCGATGGAGGCTTTCCGTCTCCGGGGACACCCGCAGCCACACGCGTGCGCGGGCAGGGCGTGCGTGGAGATCTCAGCGGCCGGCTGGCGACATGGACAGAGCCGGGCCAGGCTCGCAGATCCCCGACTCCAGCCAGCCAGCCAGCCCAGCCAGCCAGCTAGCGGCGTCCGTCCGTCCGTCAGCAGCGTTATCCTACCCGCCTTAGCCAGCTCCAGCCCGGGACCGCGGTCCCCGCTAAAACACCTCCTCTGGCGCCTTGAGACTGAATTTGAGCAGTCACCAATGAGCGGCGGCCTCAGGGGCGGGGCCGACCAATGGCGTGGCGGCACGGCCCGGAGCCCCGCCCCTCGCTGTCTTGGCGCTCGGCGCCGCGCCTTTCCCCTCCGCCCGCCCGCCCGCCCGCCCGCCGGATTGTTGTCGCCTCGCCCCCTCCCCCTTCCGGGTACCTGGAGGCGGTGACGCGGGTGCGATTCCCGCGGGGACGCGGGCGCGGACGCGGGAAGCCGGGGCGGGGCGGGGCGGGGCGGGGCGGGCCGGCGCGCTCTCCGCGGGGCGCCTTTTTGTTGTGCGACCCGGGACCCGCGCGGGTCCCCGCGGAGCAGATGGAGCCGGGGAAACGAGCCGCGGGCGCTGGATGCTGATCCTGCCGCCCTGCCCCCCAGCGACCTGCGGGCAGCGGAGTTGCCTGGACCTGCCAGGGCGGCTCCCTCGCACCGGGTGCCGGGTGACACGTGAACCCTGGTTACCACCTGGGCTGGGAGCAGATGGCACGCCCGTTAGCCCTGGGAACAAGCCTGGAAGCCACACCAAAAGGCTTTTTTTGGGAAGGATTTCATGGGTGTTTTCTTCTTAGAGCCTTACGAATGGTCGAGGAGGTGTTCTTAATTAGTTTTTCTTAAGCTTTCGGGCAAACAGTCAAGGATACCCCCGGACTATGCCGAGTTGTATGAGATGTTCGCTTCTTTGATTTCTTATTTAAGTATGAACATAAGGAAAGATGGCTGTTTCAGGCCTTCTTGAGAAACTCCTGTTTAGATCCGTTTTGGATTTGCAGAAAAATGGAAACGATACTTTAAAGAGTTCACACATCTAGTACCCAGTTTCTAGTATTTGCATAAACACAGGGCGTTTCTTAGAGTCACGATTTATTCAGGTTTTTTATTTTACCTAATGGTTGTTTTCCTGTGCGAGGACATCGTTTTTGTTCATGTCTCCTAAGCATGACAGTTTCTTGTAATGATCTCCGCGTTTTCCACCAGTACTGGTATTTTGTAGGGTACCCTCAACTGGCATTTAGAATTGGCCCTTTTTAACGCATACCTACCAGTCCCCCATCCCCAGTAATTTTACTTTGAAATTATCATTCTCATTATCCTTTCTTAGCCTTTGCTCTCCAATATGTACAGTAAACCATGAGCAGAATTCAAAATGTTCAGTCAAGTCCTGCACATTTTTGTTCCAGGCTGCTGGTAAATACAGCCTAAAAATGGCCACCGGGCCATATCTTAGACAAGACCAGAAAACATGTAAAACCATCAGCACGGACAAATAAACAGTAGCAAAAAATATTTATCTGGCAAATAACACTTTGAAGACTAGAGGGATGGTTCAGGCAAAAAAAGTGCTTGCTATGCAGAAAGGGTTTGCCTTTGATTCCTGGTACAAATATTACCAAGCTGGGTGCGGTGGCGCCCGTTTGTAATCCCAGCATCAAGCAGTTAGGGACTGATTCCTGGGGCTTGTGGGCTAGCCAGTCTAGTCTAATCAGTGAGTCCAAACAAACCCTGTGTCCAAAACAAGGTGGGGGTTGGGGAAAAGGCTTAATCCCCCAGTGCCTGCTGAACAAGCAGGAGGACAGAGTCAGGATTCCTGGTGCCCACTTAAAAAGCTGGGGGTGGAGTGTTCTGTAACCTAGGCTGCGGAGACCCGATGATTCCACATGCTCACTGCCCAGTCAAGCTACCTAGTTGATGAACTTCAGTCTCTGGATGAAAAAAAAAAATGGATTAATGAGTAAGTAAATAAAATGAAGAGAGATTTTGAAAAAAGACATCCAATGTCTACCTCAGGTCTGGCATTTATACATACATCTCCCAATCACACACACACACACACACACACACACACACACACACACACACACACTGGCTAGAGAGATGATTGAGGCAGGTGTTAAACGCATTTGCTGCTCTTGCAGAAGATGGGAGTTTGGTTTCCAGCATCCAAGCTGGGCAGCTCACAGTCTTAGGGCAATGGCTGCTCTTTCAGGATTCCTTGGGCACCTGCGTTCGTGTACACGTGACACCTCTCTCTGCACACACATTAAAAGCGAATCTTAAAAATAAAACCCAGGTGAATGGTTTCTAAGGAACAACACTTAGGTTGTCCTTCCTCTGACCCCCCCCCCACAAGTGCATAACATACACCAAAAGAAATGAAAATCTAAAATCCTTCCTGTAGACCGATAGAGGAACATAGCGAAATGTAAGGGGTAAAACTGGAGCTTCCTGCAGTTTTTTTTCCTCAGGTAGATGCAGAGAATGTAGATAAGAAAATGCATTATTTATGACTAGTAGTTTTCTGTGACCGCTACAATAAATTAACCCCCAAAAAGACTGACTTAAAAGAACAGAAGTTTGCTGGGCGGTGGGGGCGCAAACCTTTAATCCCAGCACTCTGGAGGCAGAGGCAGGCGGATCTCTGTGAGTTCAAGGCCAGCCTGGTCTACAGAGTGAGTTCCAGAACAGTCAGGACAACACGGAGAAAGCCTGCTTCAAAAAACCAAAACCAAAACCAAACCAAAACAACAACAAAAAACCCCCATAAGTTCATACATATCACACATATAAATATTATATAAATATTTTAATTATCACATGAATTAAAAAAAGGTTATCTAAATAAGGTAATGCCCGTGGGTTCCAGAGTCTATGATATGAATATACATTTTGATGGGGTATTGTTCAAAATCTATACACCAAAAACCCAAAGCCCATACAGAATTGATACAATTAAAATCCATTTATTTCACTAATGTCTCAAAACTCATGTGCTTATTTCATTTCGATTAAACAGTGTTGAAAAACAAAACAAAAAGAGCGGGGTGGTAGTGGCACACTCCTTTAATCCCAGCACTCTGGATGCAGAGGCAGGCAGATCTCTGTGAGTTTGAGGCCAGCCTGGTCTACCCAGGACAGGCTCCAAAGCTACAAAGAAACCCTGTCTCGAAAAACAAAAACAAACAATCACACACACACAAATAAAAGAAGAAAGAAAGAAAGAAAAAGAAGTCCTCTATCAGGTTCAATCCAAGAGGGGCCTCTACTGAGTTAAGAAAAATTCGATATGTTGTAGTTTTAGAAATAAGAATGACCTTAGGTTTGGAGAAAAATTGGAAAAAAAATCGTAATTTGATGGCCATGTTCAAAGATACCGAACACTTATTAAAATGGATCCCTTTAAGTTCTAGAATCCTCACCCTACCAGTGTCTCAGATGGGGAGTAGGCTGTGAGAGCCCCTACATATGGTTTCTGCACGTGTCCTGAACTTCCTTGTAGGCCGAGAGCTCCAGGAAGCTGGACTTATACGGTAGCCTCGGGGATCCAAAATAAGTCTCAGCTGGCAACGTGGACCGCCTGTCATGGTGCAAGAAGGAAGAGAACATAGATGCTGTAATACTTTTCTAGCTGCAGTAGGTCAGAGTTCGTCTATATTCCAGGAGAGAGGACGCACACACTCTTCCTGACCATGGAAGAGGTATTGAGGAACCTGGGGTCGTTTAAAAAATGGCCGCATCAGCTTTGAAGGGTCACTGACTAGAGTGGCCTCGGATCCCGTGTCTGGCATCACTCCCCAGCTCACCAGGACGTACTATGCTGAGTTTGTAGTTCTCAACCTTGTGTATGCTTCAGCACCACTTCAGGGGATGCCTAATTATTCCAGCGCTTGAATCCCACACCCCCGTACCCCTCATCCGCTTGATTTTGTGCTGGACTCGAGGATCGAGTGTTTTAAAACGCTCGGTGCTCGCGTGTCCGCATCCTGCCAGCTGCACGCTTCTTCGTCGGCTCCCGTGGGTTCTTCGGACTCCGTGGCTCAGAAGTGGGACCCACAGATCCCACCAGTGGCAAAGGTAGGTCGATATGCTTACTCTGAAGCAGACGCAGAGGTTTTGAGCATTGGGGCCCTCTGTCTCGTGGATGAAAGAGCCGCGGTTGTGAATAAAAAACTTTGATGAACTTTGAAGAGCGTGAGAGAGGGTGAGAGGGCTGGGAGAGCCGGGCCTAGCCGACTTCCTGTCTTAGGCAACCCCTGTGAAGACCCAAAGGGGTCTTGACCCCACTGGCTCAGAACTGCTGCCTTCTTTTCCAGACTTGCAAGTCGTCTTTTACCGTGTTTGGATTCCTACCATCAAGATTTTCAGAGACACGGTATTAATCACATTCCAGGGAAAGAATGCCTATAGGAAAATAGGATTCATGGGGGTCGGCTCTAGAGCAAGATGGTCCCAGTTGTCCTGTCAACGTATGGGCTTCCTCTGATAGTTTACTGCCAGGGGCAATGAAATTAGATGGCTTTTCATGTGGCATCTACACTCCAAAGGACAGGTTCAGGTTTCGGGTAAGAGAAAGAAGGCTTTGTGTCCTGGCACTTCTCAAACCTCGCTTAATGGATCTGTGTAATAGCTCCCCCTTTTCCCTCTCTGCCCTGGTATGAGGGATTAAACCCAGGTCCTCCACCACTGAGCTACACGCTCAGTGTAGCCCTTCTTCACATCTGACATCTATTATTCACTGGGTTTTATTTTGTGTGAATGGGTGTTTTGCTTGCACGTATGTTAATGTGCCTCTTGTGTGCTTGGTGTCTTAGAGTCCAGAAGAGAGAGGCATTGGACCCGTTGGAACTAGAGTTACATTTAGTTATGAGCCGCCATGGGGCTGCTGGCAATTGAACCTAGGTTCTCTGGATGAGTAGCTAGTGCTCTTAATCACTGAGTCATCTCTCCAGGCCCAACATTTATAATTTTGAGACAGGGTCTTGCTAAGTGGCCCAAGTTTGACATGAATACATTTTATAGCCTAGGCAGTCTTGAAATGGTGGCCTGTCTGTTTTACCTTCTGGGATAGCTGAGTGATAGACCTTCATCTCCAGCCTTGGCTGGAGTTCTTCTTAAACTGAAAATAGCTGTTTGACGTAGCCTTTGTGCAGGGCACGGTGGCTC